CCTAAATCAAAGATCAACACATTTCTTTCACCGGCGGCCTTCTTATCTAAACCATAAGCGATAGCCGCGGCTGTAGATTCGCCAAAGATATGGAGAACATTTAATCCAGCAATCATACCAGCATCTTTAGTAGCTTGACGTTGTGAGTTATTGAAATATGCAGGAACTGTAATAACTGCATTTGTAACCTTTGTACCAAGGAAGGCTTCGGCCGTTTCCTTCATCTTAATCAAAATCATAGATGAAATTTCTTCAGGTGTAAATTGTTTAGTTTCGCCTTTAAATTCGATTTGAATGTATGTTTTACCATTCTTTTCAGTAACTTTAAATGGCCAATGCTAATTAAAATATAGACCCATCATAAAAAAAAAACAATTTTAGTTTATGTTATTCATAACGAAATAAACGCGTTTAAATGGTTTTACAAAAATTTTCAAATGTACTATTAAATGCAGTTTTTGCAAATATTTTTTTTTTTTTTTTTTTTAGCATTAATTATTATAATTTAATTTTAAATAAATATATTTGCAAATTATTATTCTAATAAAATAATATTGTCAATATATTGGTAATAATAAAGGCCTAAATTTACCATTATTTTTTGGGTACTTAAAGGTACTAATAATGAAATATTTTTTGTAATAGACTATCAAAATTGCTAACTTATACTAATGATATACTTTATTTATCTTGTTTTCTATTGACAAATAATTGCTTATCTCGAAATTCAAAGTACCTTCATATTCGATTGTACTTCAGGATCAGTAAATATACGACCAATAAGACGTTTGGTGCTGTTACTATTGTTTGGGAGAGCGTTATGAGTTTTACGGGGTGATTTAGCTCCAATAGTGAACTTAAAAAGAATTTATATGTATTGTTCGTCGAGATTTTAGACACGTGAGGGCTATGATTTAGGACCTCAATTTACGTAAGTAGATCGGGATCGGGTTATTACTAAATTGGTTCCGGTTTGGATTATGCACGTTGTGAGAGGCTAGATCGACCTCTAAATTCTATTTTTAGCGGTTGGTTCTATTTTTGGAGTTAAAGGTGGTACAAATTCCTGGAATTCCTGGTATTCGGGGAATTCGTAGGATTCGAAGAATGATGGGAATTACAAGAATTCATAGAATAGTAGAATAGCGAGAATAGTTGGAATTCCTAGAATTCCTAGAATTCTGTTATATGTAACGATTAATTATATATAGGAGGTAGTTTCCTCCAAAATAAAGACATCTCAGTAATAAGCTTTTAACACTCCCTAAGTTATCGTTGCGCATATAATTATACACATTCGTTTCCCTAAAATTCCTCTAATCCCGTAATTCCGAATTAGAGCATCGTGACGTAGGCTAGAGCTCTATTTGGCCCTAATAACTCGGACCAAGTCTTTCCACGCCCTCTTTCGTGCCTTTCACCATTAGGTCCAGTAGAGTTTAGTGGTTATAGAGTGTTGATTGGGATTAGTTTAGTGCCAATTGATATCCGTGTTGACCATATTTTGAGGTTCCGGATTGGTCTACACCTTTACAACGTAATTTAAGGGTATACGTACTTAAAGGGTAAGTTAGGGCTGACGTGATAGTTTTAAGGTAAATAAGAAACAATGGGAAAGTCCTATACTAAGGAATCGATCGGATAACCGTATGATAATACTATCGTTTGGGTTTAATAATGGTAGTTATCTTTGAGATAATAGGTTAACAATTAGGTAGCATTTATACTAATTCTAGGGTACTTAACAATACAAGAAAAGAAAAATAAAAAATAAATAAAGATAAATTCGTTCAACGTTCAATAAACAGTTTTTTTTAATAAATATGAGAAGTCGATTCTTATTTTACTTCATTAAAGACATCGAAGTCTGAGGAAACTTTATTAACGAAAAAATGAGGTCTTTAAATACATTTTTCTATCCTTTAAACTACTGCGCAAAGACTTTTACTTTCTTTTAAACCTTGGTAAGGCTTTCCCGGCAATGCTCCACGGGTTGTTACAACCCGTGTTGGTTAAGCCTTCTAAACATTACTCATAATAATCGTCTCAATATTTGCTACAATTCTTGTGCCAAATATTTACTACAATTCTTGGGCCAAATATTTACTACAATTCTTTTGCCAAATATTTACTACAATTCTTGGGCCAAATATTTACTACAATTACTAGCCCCTCAGCTTCACAATGATTCATTATGACTAAATAAACAACGATAATAAAAAGAAAAAAAAAATAAATAATAAAAAAAAAATTATAAAGTAAACGATTGGAACTTCTACGCCTTTCTAAATCTCGTGATGCAAAACCCGTGACAGTGCCAAAAACAGTATTATAAGGATTCATGGCGACTTGGTTTTTTGCGGCGTCACCGATCAGACGCTCTGTATCGGTGAAAGCAACATATGAAGGTGTCGTTAAATTACCCTGGTCGTTTGCAATAATTTCAACACGGTCATTTA